TCATTGTTAGGGTGAAGTTCTTTAGACTTTGAACATGGTGGCAACATACTTTTGTGCCAAGCTTTTTTTTGTCTACTGTAGCCTTTAAAGAGACATGGTATTTAGGATATAGAAAACTCACCAGTTCTACTGATCTGGATAGAAAAGGGGTTGTTGGTTGCTTTTTAAAAAAAATTTTTTTTTTTAAAGTCATTGGAGATATTGCGGCAGAACAGGTTAAGTCATGCTTGCAATGCTAACATCTATAGGAACATTTGAGTCCCAGCCACTTTACTTCCAATCCAGCTTCCTGCTAATGCACTTGGGAAGGCACTGGAAGATGCTCACCGGGAGACATGAATGGAGTTTTTGGCTTCCGGCTTTAGTTGAGCTCAGCCTCGTTCACTGTGGCCATCTGGGGAATCAGTCAACACATGGAAGGCTTCTTTCTCTGTCTCTATGTAACTACCTTTCAAATAAATAAGTAAATTTTAAACAAACAAACAAACAAACAAAAAACTGAAGAAACAGAACAAGTTCCCATCAACTGGTTTACTCCCCACAATGTCTGCAGCGGTCCTCCTGGCAGAAAGCTGGGAGCTCACTCCAGGTCTCCCATGTTAGGTGCCCATCACCTGCTGTCCCCCAGGATGTGATCAGCAGGCAGCTGGCACCAGGAGCAGAGCTGGGACTGAAACCCAAGGTGGCAAGCACCTGAAGTTGGCCAAATGTCCAATCCAGAAATGTTTACAATTTCACTCCGGGGACCAGCATTATGGCATGGTTTTTGTTCGTTTGTTTTAAATTTTTATTTTTTTATTGCAAAATCAGATACACAGAGAGGAGGAGAGACAGAGAGGAAGATCTTCCATCCGATGATTTACTCCCCAAGTGACTGCAACAGCCAGTGCTGCGCCAATCCGAAGCCAGGAGCCAGGAACTTCCGTTAGGTCTCCCACACGGGTGCAGGGTCCCAAGGCTTTGGGCCGTCCTCCCCTGCTTTCCCAGGCCACAAGCAGGGAGTTGGATGGGAAGTAGAGCTGCCGGGATTAGAACTGGCTCCTATATGGGATCCCGGCGTGTTCAAGGCGAGGACTTTAGCTGCTAGGCCAGCACGCTGGGCCCCTGTGGCATGTTTTATGATACCACCTCGCACCGAAATCCCATGTGGGGGCCAGTTTGAGTCCTGGCTACTCTACTCGTGTTCCAGCACCCTGCTAATGCACCTGAAAAAAGCGGTGGAAATTGGCCCAAATGCTTGGGCTCCTACACCTATGTAGGAGACCTGGAAGAAACTCCTGGCTTCAGCCTGACCCAGCCCTGGCAGCTGTGGCCACGTGAGGAGTGAATCCGCAGATGGAAGACCCCTCTCTTTTCCTCCTCTGCCTTTCAATAAATAAATAAACCTTTTTCTTAAATCCTCCTACATGACTTGTTAAAAAAAGATTTATTTATTTTTAGTTGGAAAGTTAGATTTACAGAGTAAAGGAGCTACAGAGAGAAAGATCTTTCATCCTCTGGTTCACTCCCCAAGTGGCTACAATGGCCAGAGCTGAGCCAATCCAAAGCCAGGAGCCAGGAGCTTCTTCTGGGTCTCCCACGTGGGTGCAGGGTCCCAAGGTTTTGGCCCGTCCTAGACTGCTTTCCCAGGCCACAAGCAGGGAGCTGGATGGGAAGTGGAACAGGTGGGATATGAACCGGAACCCGTATGGGATACTGGCACATGCAAAGTGAGAACTTTAGCCACTAGATTATGTGCTGGGCCCAAAAATAATAAATCTTAAAAAAATAAATTTCACCCCTGCATATGAATGGGCATTGCTTATGTACTCATCATTATTCATGTATTGCCCACTATATCCTGGCTTCTGCCCCAGCACTGCCACAGTTATTGAATTCCAAAGTCCCTGCTCTGGAAGTTTCTACTGCAGTGGGAGGGACACACACTAGGCAGACAGGCCAGCTGGTTAGTGGTAAGTGCTTCAGAGAAACTGTTAGCCGGACAAAAGGGACAGAGAATGGGAGGGCCCAGAGTGGCTGTTTCATCGCGGTGACTTTCACACAGAGCCCTGGAGGGAGAGTGTTGCCAAAGGCACAGGCACTGGCAAGCACAGAGCAAAGCGAGGCAGTGGCAGGGGGCTGGCTGGTGCCACAACAGAGGCTGACATCGCTCCACTGTAAGTCCCGTGGGTCTTAGCCGGGACCCCCTTCCTACCTCAATTGATGAATTTGTATTTCCTTGCGGGCTGGGCTCTGACCCGACAGTCACAAAATGGGACATTCAGGAAATCTCTCTTTCGACACACCTCTTACACAGCTGCAGTCACGTAGGTAAAATTGCGTTTTCCCATAAAAAACCCTGACCTGCTTCCCTTGGAGGGAGAGGCCGGGTGATGGGGATCAGCGTGCCACCTCCCTGGTTGCTAGCACCATAAACTCTCTGCCTCAAATCCTTGCCCCGAGTCTTTGGCTTCTCAGGACGAGTGCCTGACCTCAGGTTCCGTATACAGTGTGTTTGAGGAGTGACAGAAGGCGGGCTTGGTGAGCAGAGAGGAAGGAGGGGAGGAGGAACTCACAGGAAGAGCAGCTGTCTCCCCAGCCAGTGTGAAGGTTGTGACTTTTACGGGGCATCACAGGAAGCCGCGGGAGCGTGCGGAGTCAAGCTGTAGTGCTACCTAGAGCAACGCCTACAACACCCAGGGAAGTTCCTAATCCCACCCCAACATCAGTGCTTGTTGGAAATGGGATGCCTTGAAGTCACGCTCTCAGGCTAGCCAGCTGGGACTGGTCAGAAGCAAGCAGAAGACCCCAGATCTCACTACTGTGGTAAATGACACCCCCACCAGTGCCAAGGATGGTTGAGGTTCTCCATGACATCCACAAGAGACCACAGAAGGGCAAAAGGAAGGTGACTCCCCAGTTCCCAGGAATATGCCACCCCCTTTCCAGGAAACCACAGATTCCTCCCACTTGGAGCATTTCCTCCCGGTATCCCTGTTGGCACATTCCCAGGACTGCTGGGGCTGCCACCCCCCTGCCCTCTAGGAGGTTGAGATGTTGATTTGCCAACCAGGAGCCTGCTTCAACATCCTAGCACTGCTGCCATGTCTTTAGGGGGAGTGACAGTAGCAGCGTCTGCCTTCTGAAAGGCCCTCTGCTAGTGGACTGTAGGCGAGGACCTGGAGATAGGGCGCCTGCTAGGAGGCTGCTGACAGAGAACAGGGCTGGGGCCTGGAGTGCCATGGGCCGTGAGAGAGGGGCTGGAATCTGGCTTCACGCTGGAGACAGAATCCATGGGTCTTTGGTTCATTTTTCTGTCTGCCTACTGCCAGTGCACCCAGACTGAAAGAAGGTTTGGGCAGACAGTTCGTCTTTACTATTGGAAAACTCCGCTATTTTTGAATTTGCTAACTTGCTACAACCTACTTGAAAGCCTGAAATTGGTACTTGAGGTACTTGCAGCCCTTAGGAGACATATACAGTGAATTTTTTTAAAAAAGAATTTTTTTCTTATTTACTGGAAATGCAGAAATAGCAAGATCTCCCATCAGCTGGCTCACTTCCCAAACACCCATAACCAGGACTGTTAACAGGTCAAAGCCAGGAACTTCATCTGGGTCTCCCGCATGTGTGGTGGGGACCCAAGAACCTGGGCTATCTGCTGCCTTCCGGTGCACTGGCAGGAAGCTGGATCAGGGCGGGTGAACTGGGGTTCCAACCCAAGAGGCTACTCACCTTGCTGCGTCCCAATGACCCCCAAGAGCAGTGACATTGGAGTGGCCTGAGACGTCCATTCCCAGCTGACCTGGAACCAGGTGACACATTCAGCTGGGTGAGCACTACACAAGGACTGAGCCAGAGGACACCTGTCCCGGAAGCCTCCTGGCAGCTGGGCGGAGCTGGTGTCTGGCAGTCTGTTGGGGTTAGCCAGTCACGTAACTTCTTTGGATGTGGCTGGCAGTTTCTCAGTGTTAGCTAGCTAAGGCCTTTCCTGCCTCCCTGGTACTGTATGCATCTCTTCTCAGGGTCCATGTTGTCGCACATGTTGCCTCTCTTGCTTTTTGTTTGGGATTTCGCTGTTTTAAATGGCCCCCTAGTGCTTCAGGGCCGTTCGAGGTGTCTGTGCACCAGAAGGCTGCTTTTGGTTAACAAATCGGCACATATTAAGTGCCTTTAAACCCTTCTAAACAGGAATGCCAGCAGTGGCTTAACCTGCTGTGTCACAATACTGACCCAACAAGAATTTTAAAAAGCACCTCCAAGACAGGCAATGTGGCACGGTAGTTAATCCCTGACGTGGGACCCCCACATCCCTCAGCAGAATGCCCAGGTGGGAGTCCTGGCCCCTCTTGCTTCAGATTCAGCTCTCTGATAGTGTGCACCCTGGGGAGCAGCAGACGAGGGTTCAAGTCTCTGGGTCTCTTTGACTTTAATTCTAGGCTCCTGGCTTTGGTGTTGTCCAGGCCCCACTGCTATGGGAACTGGGGGAGTGAATCAAGGGTTGGAAGATCTTGTTCAAATAAATGAGAACATCTTAGGAGCAACTTAGGTGATTCTAGCATAAGAAACATTCCACAGACTTGGGCCTGTGTAACAAGCTCGTGGACAGGGTTCTGGACTCCACCCTGGGACTCTGTCCTCTAGGCTGAGAAGAGATGCCAGAATCTGTACTCTGGCAGTCCCCCCGCAGGTACCCAAGTTGCCAGTCCACAGGCTACCCTGGAGCAGCCATGCTGCTATCATTCCTGCCACTCTGCCATCTGCTCCCAGGTGAGCTTCGGTGGGACCGAGCCCAGCCATGGAGCTCCCTCAGTCAACACAGAGCTGTTCTCACTTGGTGTGCACGTCTCCACACCATCTCCCAACGGGCTGTGGCTGCCATGGCAGCAGCCTTGGTCCTGCTAGGACACCTGCCCCAGCCAGGGGGCCAAGGCCACAGCACACACATGGCACAGGAGACAGCAGCAGCCCGTCAGCCCTGGCACCTTGCACAATTGCTATGGAGAATTTTTCTTTCACCATTTCCACTCTTTCCAAGTTTTATTCCAAAAAACAGGAGGGGAAAAGATGAAAAGATGTCCGTGAAGTGTAATCACCATCATTACTATAAAGTACTCAACGCCAGGGACCCACGTCCGCGTCTCGAGTCCTGCTTGCCACGGCACTCGGCGGGGCAGTCAGAGCCTCCCAGATGGGGAAGAGGACGGCGTTACACCGACGTGGCGCCCCAGGTGGATGCGGAGACCCCCGAGCGTGTGTTCTATTTATCCTTCTCCTTCTGTTCTTTCTCCTTCTTCTCCCGCTCGGCTTTCGCTTCCTCTTCCTCGTGCTTTTTGATCAGCTGCTCTACTTCTTTCTGTTTGAGAACTCGGATGACCGTCTTGCCGTTCTCCCTCGTGAGCGTGGCAATTTCCACTGCAAACAGACACACGGGGGTTAAGAGCAGGCAGCTCGGCCAGCACGGCGACTCGTGGACACTTGGCTCTTGAACTGTTCTGACAGCCACGTGCACACCCTTCCCCACGCCTGCCCCAGCTGTCCTGACAGCCACCCTGCTACGCCCTTAGGAAACACCAAAGCAGCCCATGGCTCTTACTCGGCCACCAGCAGCTGGGCTGCCAAGGAAATCCCAAATTCCTTGCTGAAAGCTCCATAGGCTCAGCCAGCTTTTTCAACTAGAAATGACACCTATTTATGTTTCACGTCTCTCTTCAAAATACAGGCATGGAAAGCAGCTTCCGTGGCTATACACGAGCAAAGCAGCCAGACACCTGAGTGGGTGGGACGCTTTACGTGGGGGCAACAGAGCAGTGCCCCTTGACAAGGCAGCAAAGTTCAAATCAATGACATTTTCTACTGAATGCCAGCAGCCAAGGTACCCCAAACTCTCCCTGGTGTTTGGAAACCATCACTGAAAAATGTTTTAGATAACCACACAGCTGAGGAGGCTGGAGAAGGGGCTGAAATTGCTGAGCCTAAATGCTTTGTCTCTGACAAAGTCCCTCTTATTCACACGTGACCTGATGCAGATGCGTCATCACACACGCACACGCCCCTCAGTGAGAAGTGCTGACCCCTCTTAACCAAAGCAACACAGTTTAGGACTGCCTAACTCAGAGCAGGAGGACCGTCGGGCTCAAGCCCTGAGCCTAGAACGTCCCGTGGGACCGTGCTCCCCACTTCTTTAGCCCCGGTGTTCTCACTGTGCAAGAATGTGTAAGGCCACCTGACGCGTGAAGCCACTGTTGGGGGAACGAAGGTGACCAGGACGAGGCCCAGCACATGAGGCACGCCTGTCCATCTGACAAAGGAGAGGGATGCAGGGATTACCTTTCTCAGCTGACAGTTTGCTAACGTCCATGGTCTTATTTAGCACCTTGATAGCTAAAGCCAGCGCCGACTTCAGGGTCATCTCGCCCTCCTTGTAGTCTTGTTTCAACATGGACACAGCTGCCTGTAAGACATGAGAAACAGCGTGCTTGAAGTTTGTGTGTTTCTAAGGAAAATGGATTGGTCTAGCAGGGTAATGCCTGCATTGTTACCAGCACTGCCACCAGGATAAAGAGTCTGACTACAGGGAGGCGGGATGGGGAGGATGGGGGAGCAGAGCCCGCTGACGCTCGAGCCGGGACCTGCAGTCTCCCAAGGGATATGTCAAAGAAACCAGAGTGTAAAGCCAAGAAGAGAAACGATCCTTCCAGTTTCACAACATCTAATGAAGACTGGTCTTTAATTCCACATGCAGACAACAAACCCCATCATATTACCATTCCCCGTGACTTTGTCACTAACAGCAGTCACGGGAGCCATCCTAAAACACCACTGCAGTGTAGTGCTTGGGCTTAAGTCCCAGCTCCGTTTACAGTCTCAGCCTCCTGCTAATGAGCACCACGCGAGGCAGAGGTGCTGGGTCTCTGCCACCCACATGGGAGACCCAGAGGCACTCCTGGCTCTTGGCTTTGGATGAGCCCAGCCCTGGCTACTGTGGGCAAATGAAAGGTCTTTTGCCTTTGTTTTTTCAAGTACATTAAACAATTAATTCAAGAAATAAAACATTGCTTACATTTCTCAGAACAAAATTACATTAGGTGTTTGACCTTCAGCTACAGCCTAGCTCACCGCAAGGATACTCACAGCGCTGTTGTTGCCGATGCATGTGGCTTTCCATCCCCCATAGTTCCCGCTGGGATCACTCTGATAGAGCTGGAAGCCGTAGTGCTTGTCCCAGCCAATGTAGAGCAAGGAGACACCAAAGGGACGCTTGCCTTCAAGGAAGGGGAAGAATGACCGCCTAAGCTTGCATCACCACACCTCCCGGGCTCAGTGAGGCTCAGCGCTCCCAAGCACCGTGCCTACTGGCCAGCACAGATAAGCCCTGGCACAGATGCCGCCTTTGTTTCTAGGAAGTGAATGCAGCCACAAGTCGAGATAAAGAGGGCCAATGCCGAATCTCATTATTATGTAACAAGGCGATTTGTTTCCAGATGTGAAAATCTGACTCTGGCCTTCTAACATCCTCCTCACCAGACAGGCCAATCAACACGGCAGAGGCAGATTTGCTCACGAGACAGAAAAGTACAATGTGTTTAGTAAATTCTAGTAAATTCCCACTTTCTTTTTTTTCTTACCATCACAAAAAGGTTGTTACTCATGAACCATTTAAAATTTGGGGAATAAAATTTCTAAAACTCAGTACCTCCAAACTGTGTGTAGGCTTGCTTGATGTCGCACAGTGCAGTCACCAACTGCTCACAGGGGATTGGTTCCTGATACTGTAGTAGATACCTGGGACAGAGAGAGTGGTGTAAATCACCCCCCCCACCCAGGAAGCACCCCTTGAGGACAAAACCAGGCCAAGGGGACACGGAGCTTGTAATCTGAAAAGTGGGTCAGGAAGATGTCGATATCTGAATACACTTAGGGTAAGTTATACTTTATAAATTTAATTTAAAAACAAAAACACCTACTCTTTAAATACTGGTTTGGTAACTCTGTGAAAGTGAGCTGACCTCAGAAACTTCTAGGCTGTCTACCAGTTTGCTCAGCTCAGTCACTCAGGGCCGTACCTCTGGGCTATGAGCCTCAGCTCATTAGTGAGAACGTTGGCGTCAGAAGTGATTCCGGCCACGCTGCAGGCCATGTCCCTGGAAGGAGAGAGATGGGGCTGTCAGCAAGGAGAGGTGGCTAACGTCCCCAAGCACAAAGCTCTCTGCTCGCTTCACCTTTCAGGCAAAATCTCCCCACCTTTTACCTTTGGAGGGACAGTCCCTTGACATGTTCAACAAAGAAACACGCCCCCAGGTTTTCCAACAGGCTCATCCTCGACATTTGAAACAGGGCAAGGAAATGAACACTCAGCAGCTAAACCAAAGCCCAGAAGACTCAGCAACCCAGAAAAAGGCTTGGCCAGTGGCAGACAGGAAGGCCAATAATACTGCTGGGGAGTTCTCCCCCAACTCGGAGGTCTGGCAGGTGGTGACTGTGGGTGAGGGGCACAAGGGTAGGGTTGAAGCCTGCTGGGTGCCTATAGAGGCACAGTGCCCTTTTTCTCTTCATGTCAGCAGAGGGCTGCTCAGGCCCTCCTCCAGCCAGCCTCACAGCCTCCATCACTGTGGCCAGGGAAGCTGCTGGGTGGGCTGTCACTCCCCAGACAAGGGCATCAGGCCCACCCCTCAACAGAGAGTTTCTGCACGAGCACGGCCAGCTCTGCACCAGCTGTACCTCAGGTAACAGAAATGCCACACAGCACATGGGGCCTGGCGACCCTGTCCCACCGAGACCTCTTCTTTGTAAAGATTCAGTGTAATTCAACCAAATTCCTGAGTCGCCTTCTGAAAACTGAGAAACCTGGGGCCAGCACAGCAGCACAGTGGGTTAAGCCACCACATGCAATGCCAGCATCCAGTCTAGGTGCAGGTTTGAGTTCCAGCTGCTCCATTTTCACTCCAGCTCCCTGCTAGTGCACCTGGGAAAGCGGTGGAAGATGGCCAAACTCCCTGGGGCCGCACATCCACATGGGGGACCCAGATGAACGACCAGACTTTGGACTGGCCATAGCTTCAGCTGCTGTAGCTTTTCACAGAACAAGCCAGCAGATGGAAAGTCTCTCATCCCTGTAACTCCTTCCAAATAAATAAATCTTTCAACACTACGAGTAGCCAGACGCCAGTCATTGTGTCTCATTTCATTAAGCTGCCACAATCATTCTAGCAGGATCTCAGATAAAAGAGGTTAAATAAGTGATGCATAACACACAGTGGACTCTGGGATTGAACCCAAACTACTGTGTCTGTGCCTACTCCGCTCTGTATTTACATGACCATGCAATGCTGCTTCTCCACTAAGGACGTGGCCCCACACCTAAAAGGAATGAACACATGTCCTGGACCTAGAGGAGGCTCCAAGCAAAGTTCACTGAAAAACACACTCGGTTCAATCCTATCGAGCCCCAGAGGAGGGTCTGCACGGACCGACCCCACTGGCCTGCCAGGGCGAGAGCCTGCCAGCTCTCCCGCAGAGCTGACTTACTCGTTGAGTTTATAAATCTTTTCGGAAAAGAAGACTTCATCCAGGAGCTTGTGGATGTTGCGTCGCTCGGCTGCCAGCAGAACACCGTCGTTGGCCAAAATTCCCAAGCAGGTGCCTGCGTGTCCAATAGCTTCCATGGCATATTCCACCTGGTACAGGCGACCTACAAAACATAAGCCGTGAAAAGCCAAGCCACCCACACTACAAAAACAAGTCAGGAATCACCACCACTCCAAGCCCGTCCGGGACAACACTTAAATGCTGGCTGAACCTGAGGATGATCTGTACTTTACCTTCTGGGGAAAATATTGTGGTCCTGGAATCATATCTCCGAGACTGCAAAAGAAAAACACACGTGATTCCCATGGTTTGCCAGCAAACCAGTTCCTCCGGTTCACAACTCTTCCTACACAACTTCCATGCCAGTACACAACTCCATGTGCACGGACAGCGACCCCCTCCTTTCTCCCCTCCCATTCCAGCTTTCGCCAGTGAGCCACTAACTAGTGTACCAAGCTGCCTGCCATACCAGGCCTGTATGTGTCTACTCACCATGTTTCCTGCACGTTATAAGACGCTCTGTAAAACAGAAAAGAGGATCACCATTAAAATAAAACATACAAGGTCTGGAGCAGTAAGTAGCCTAATAGCTAAAGTCCTCGTCTTGCACTTGTCAGGGTTCCGTATGGGTACCAGTTCTAATCCCGGTGGCCCCTCTTCCTGTCCAGCAATCTGCTTGTAGCCTGGGAAGGCAGTCAAGAACAGCCCAAAGCCTTGGGACCCTGCACCCATGTGGGAGACCTGGAAGAGGCTCTGGGCTCCTGGCTTTGGATCAGCTCAGCTCTGGCCGTTGCGGCCACTCGGGGGATGAATCATCAGCGGACGGAAGATCTTCCTCTCTGTCTCCCCTCCTCTCTGTATATTTGATTTTACAATAAAAAGAAATAAAAATTAAAAAATAAAACACACAACTTAAAAAGAAAAAAAAAATACTTGCTTTATCCACTTAGCTAAGGCTTGCTGTGCCCCTGTTTAAGGCCTGGGAACCTTGCATGCATATGAGACCAGGAAGAGGCTCCTGGCTTTGCGCTGGCTCGGCTCTGGTCACTGCAGCCATTTAGGGAGTGACCCAGCAGATGGAAGCTGTCTCTCCTCTCTGTGAATCTGCCTATCAAATAAAAACAAAGGGAATCTTTAAAAAAAAAAAAAGTGGAAAGGAAAAGCAATGTGCAAAGAGGGAGCGTGGGAGAGGAATAAAGCACTCCTGAGAAAGTGAAACAGAAATTGAAAGTGACTTGGCAAACTAGTAAGAATCCCTCAGGTAGAAGGGGAGGTGGGCTGGAGTTCAAGGAAGGGTGATGGGGAAGTCAGAGAGCTGAGAGAAAGTGCGGGGGGCTGGGGGGAAGGTGGTCCTGAACCTAAGAGGCGGGGATGGCAGCCTTGAGGCCCCAGTGTGATGCCAAACCCCATGGGTGTCCGCTGCCCGCGACACGGGCGCTCCAGACTGGACAAGCACACCAAGGGCCGGGGATAAGAACTGAATTCTTAGTCGATGTGGGGCGGGGGTGTGTGGAAGCTCCAGCGAGCGGGGTCCCAGGAAGCGATCGGCAGGTTTACAGCTCGCTCGGGAATCCTGAGAGGCCGAAAGCACGAGAGCGGGCAGGTGCCAAGGGAAGGACGCCCAGGCGCGGATGGCCGGCGGGCCACGGACGCGGGACACACAACTTGCTGGCGCTGCACACCACGAGCCGGGGGTCCCGCGGTGCCCCCCAGCAGCGCTCGCCCCAGGCTCCTCCGTCCGGCCCCGTTCCCGTTCCCCCGAGCAGCCCGACGGTGGCCGGCAGGGGCCAAGGCCGTCGCCGAGGACGCCGGGTGCAGAGTCATCGCGCCCCGGCAGGCCGGGGGACCGGCTGCCCGGAGACTGAAGACCTGCGACCACACGGAGAGCAGCCGAGCTCCCGCGCCGTCCCCTCCACAGGGGCGCAGGCTCACCCGAGGGAAGTCCCTGAAGAACAGAGAGCTCAACTCCAACGGGAGGAAATCCACCGCCACGGCCGGGAGGACGCGCCGCTAATATGGCCCCCGCGCGTGCGCACAGCCGCCCGAGGGCGGGGCGAGCACGCGGAAGTGGCCGGAGCGGGGCGGGGCAGGTGCAGGGCGTCCGCGTGGGAGCCGAGCGAGCGGGGCTTCCCGCGTCAGGGACCTGGGGCCGGGCTGGGATTCGGGTGGGGAAACCGGGGCGAGCAGGGCACCCGAGTGAGGGGCCTGAGGGGCCGAGCGGGACTGCCCGCGTGAGGGGCCTGGGGGCCGGCTGAGATTGGGGTGGGGAAGCCGGGGCGAGCGGGACTGCCCGAGTGAGGGGCTGGTGGGCCGGACTGGGATTGGGGTGCTCATCCTGTAGGGCATGGAGGAGCCGGGCCGGGCTGGGCACCCGCGTGAGGGGCCTGGCGGGGCGAACTGGGGTTGGGCTGTGCAGTCCAAGAAGGCGAGAAGCGGGCCCGACGCCGGCCAAAGAGGAAGCCGTTCATCCCTTGCGGTGCCCCACAGTGCCCGGCCTCAACGTTTTCTTTCGCTTCCCCCTTTTGCTGCTGAGAAATGTATTCTAGAAAGATAAGGCCTTGGGCTTGGCGCAATGGCTCAAATGGTTAATTTTCCTGCAAGCGCTGGATCCCAAAACGGCACTGGTTCGTGTCCCTGCTGCCCCACTTCCCAGCCAGCTCCCTGCTTGTGGCCTGGGAAAGCAGTGAGGACAGCCCAAAGCCTTGGGACCCTGTACCCGCATAGGAAACCTGGAAGAGGCTCTGGGCTTCCCGGCTTTGATCAGTTCAGCTCGGCCATTGTGGCCACTTGGGGAGTAAACCATCAAAAGGAAGATCTTTACATCTCTTTAATAAATAAATCTTAAAAAAAAAAAAAGGTTGCTCACAGTCTTTCCTCAAGTCGCAGCCAGTCAGGGTCTTGAAAATTATTTGGATCTCGATGGGTTTTCAAAAGGAGATAGATTTAGAATGAGTTGTTTAAAAAGGCGTGTGTGTGTTTAATTAAAAAATTCTGACAGAAGGGCAGAAGGAAGGAGGGACCTTGGTAGAAGTTGGGAAACTTTTCTGCTAAGAAAACTTAAATATAATTTTATTTTTTCAAGGTGTATTTTTATTTGAAAGGCAGATTTTACAGAGGACGAGAGATCGATCTTCCATCTCCTGGATCACACTCCAGATGACCACAACCACCAGATCTGGGCCAGAGGGAAGCTTAGCTTATTTGAAACCTGAAATTCCAGAGAGGGTTTCCAATCCCTGCTTCACTTCCCCAAATGGTTGAAATGGCTGTTGCTGAGCCAGCCTGAAGCCAGGAGCTTCTAGTTTCCCACATGGGTGCAGTGGCCCAATACCTTGAGCCATCCTCCACTGTTATCCCAGGCCCTGAGCAGGGAGCTGGATCAGAATTGGAGCTGCCAGGACTTGAACTGGCACCCATATTGGATACTGGCATCACAGAACTCAGTGGTTTAACCTCATTACCCCAGATCACCGACAGATCAACTTAAAAATGAACCTGCTATAGGTCTACTGAAGTCCAAGTGCGACCTGCCAATGCCTGGCATGGGCTAGATGTTCCCTGCCACTGCTGGTGGGACAGAAAGAACCGATATAAACCCTTGCTCTTGGTGACCCATTGAGTTCAACCTTTGCCTCTGAAAATGAGCTGTTACTTCCTTGTGGGTTCCTTGTGAAGATGACATGAGACAATGCATGTAAGATACTTAGTGTCCAGTAATTGTCAGCTTTTATTACATATTGTTAAAAATAAGACAGGGAGGGCTGTTGCTCCTAAAATCCCATGGCTCCTCCTAGCATCCCATATTGGTACCAATTTGAGTACCAGCTGCTCCACTTCTGACCCAGTTCCCTGGATTAGCTGTGGGAAAACAGCAGAGGACGGCCGAAAGCCTGGGGATTCTGCACTCACGTGGGAGACTTGGAAGAAGTTCCTGGCTCCTGGCTTTGGACCAGCCCTGATCTGGCTATTGGAGCCATTTGGAGAGCGAACCAGTGGGTGGAAGATCTCCCTGTCATCCTCCCCTCTCTCTTAACTCTTTCAAATAAAAAATAAATTTAAAAAAATATTAAATTCTTGATTCTAAGAAACAAATAGGACTTATCAGTTAAGTATGAGACAGGTAAGCCAAAGGCTTTCCAATATTTTGAGTTTAGATAACCTGTTTAGCAAATAGTTATCCAGCTAGGTGCCAAGCACTGAATGTTACTGTCTGATGAAACAACTCATTCTGTGAGGTAGGTATTACCGTGACTCCAATTCTACAGATACAGAAATTGAGGTACCATGAAGTAAAGAAACAAATGATGCAAAGGCTGGTGTTGTGATGTCATGGGCTAAGACACTGCTTGCATCATCAACATCCCAGCTGCTCTGTTTCCAGGTTCCTGCCAGTGCACCTGGGAGGGCAGCAGATGATGGCCTGAGCACTTAGCAAGATCCAGGAGAGGGTTCCATGATCCTGGCCTCTGGGAGATCTCTCTCTCTCTCTCTCTCTCTCTCTCCACCTTTCAAAGGAATAAATAAGCACATCCTTAAAAAATAGATGTTAGAACATTCAGAGACACACTTACTTTGGGAAGTCTAGTTAGGTAGGTAGTTAAACATAAAATCAATGCCTGTTCATGCACAAGACAGATACACATTTGAATGATCCTGAGACAGGTAAAACCACTACAGGAGACATGAAGAAAATGGAACAAAGCAATTACAGTTAGTCTACAGCAAGTTCAGTTTATCCAATCTGCCACACATCCATACAGAACTACAAATTATACAACAGCCCTCCCTGTCTGCCTGGGGACCTCACTACAGCTAGGGGTCTGAAAGCCACTTGCTGTGTTTTGGGGTTCAGGGTTGGCGGGCTCGCCTGAATGTCTTGATCTGCTTGCTGGCAGGGCCAGTGTCAGCCACCCTCTCCCTCAAACAACATCTTCTGGTCTAAATGTCATCTGGGATTCTCTGCCAGGTGCACCTTTCCTGGAGTCCAGCTCCAGTCAAATTCGGAGCTCAAGAAGGGTGCATGGAGTCGGCAGTAAAGACACGGACACTGTCACTTCATGTGCTCTCACAACAGGTCAAGAAAAAGCTGTCCTTTTTATTTACTCAGACACCTCACAACTAATTGTTCTATTTTTACTTCAAGACTAAGGGGGCATGTACAGACATTTGGTCATTCCGTCTGCACTTCAAGGCTAAGCAGGTGCCCCTAAAGATAATTCTGCAAAATACTGTATTCATATTCGTCAAAGCAAACCATTATTCATTCTTCAACAGTAGCCAAGGAGCGACAGCCAGGACTTCAAGGCCAAGGCACATGCGATTACCTGCTAATCAGCAGTACATTCCTACCACATCTCTATTTCTACAATTTACTGACTAATTAATGAGAAAATAGGTTACAAGGGAAAAAACATAAAATCTAAAACAGAAGATTCAAATGTTAAATCCCCCTACAACTATCGGCTCTACAACCCCATAAACAATGAAACAATAATTCAAAGCATTTTTCCTTGATAAAAGCATTCTTAATTCCTCTAGCTAAAAATTATAAAAGCAGCTAAAACAGTTACATTTTCTATGCTCCAAAAAAAATTGCAAAGACAGGCTAGCCTTTGAGATGGCAATGACTATATTTATTGCCATAGCAGTTTCAGCTCTCACTCCCATCACTTGCATTCATATTTAGGATACTTTCAAGCCCCTTCCCAGGAGGTGTGCTACATGTCAGGGCCAAATTCTGAGGCAATGGTTAAGTACCCAATAAGGTGTCCAGAAATGGCATGGGCTTGATTGTGCTCCTGTGTGTAAATTGTCAAAGACCCACTCACCAAGACTTTATCAGTGACATTAACTCTCAAGTTCACATCGGTTGCAAAAGCCATCTCACAGGGGCAAACAACAATGCCTCAATAGATTACAGAATTCTTAGTGGGGTGGTTGAGTGTCCAGGCAACCAAGGGGTGAGATCACATCAAGGTGGTCAGAGAGAAATCCTCCGGGTCCTGCCAAACAGCTGGAAGCTCCTGTGGGCCCTGCCAAACAGGGGAGCTGTTCTCTTCACACTTTTGTGTCATCCACACCTACTGCGCACTTTAGTGTGTGTTCTGCTCACCAGTCAGCCTTTCTCCTCCCATACAACCACTCTCCAAGCATCTTAGGAAGTTCTTCTTGCAGAGGGGAGGAGGGAGAAGGGCTGCTGTTTGCAGAGCCACGACCCCTCGTACAAAGCCAGGTGCCATGAACTATGCTGAACACAACAGGCTGCCAAGGATGGAGTGAGGAACGAAAGGAGATCTTACAGAATTGGGGCAGTGCTAGCTAGCTCTGCACAAGCCCAGTTATAAATAGGTCAATAGTTCACCTCTGTCAATCCCTTTTAGAGTATAACAAAGTCCTTGAGTTCAAGGCTGGAATAGAACTAAGCCAATGATCTGATCCCAAATTCATCATGCATCTTCTGGACCCAAGGCAAAGAGGACCACAGAATAACATGTTTCCTCATGAATCTCTCCTTTACCCTAATATATTTTTAATGTTTTCTTTACTGGCTAGAAATGCACAGAAAGAGATCAATCTTCCACCATTTGGTCCACTCCCCCAAATGCTCATAACAGCTGGGGTTGAGTGAAGCTGAAGTCAGGAGCCAGGAGCTCCATCCCAGTCTCCCACACTAAGTGGCAGGAACTGGCATGCTCTTGCCATCACCTACTGGTCTGTCTGCAGGATGTGGAGCAGGAAGCTGGATTGAAAACAGAGGCTGAACTCCAACTTAGGCACTCTGCAATGGAATGCAGGTGTTCCAGCTATGTTGTTGTTGTTGTTGTTATTATTATTATAAAGGCACATCAGATTTGCAGACAGAAAGAGAAACAAAAAGATCTTCCATTTGCTGGTTCTTTCCCCAAATGGCTGCAATGGCTGGAGCTGAGCTGATTCAAAGCCAGGAGCTTTTTCTCGGTCTCCCATGAGTGCAGGGTCCCAAGGCTTTGGGCTGTCCTTTGCTGTTCTCCCAGGCCACAAGCAGGGAGCTAGATAGAAAGTGGGGCAGCTAGGACATGAGCCAGTGCCTATATGGGATCCCAGCACTTGCAACTGAGGATTTAGTCACTGACCCATTATTCCAGGTCCTGCCTCTATGTCTTAACACATTGCACTATAACATCCACTCCTGTAAAACTTTAAGTTTAAAAACAATTGGTCATCAAATTGCTTGAAAACCTCAAGCGGTTTTATATGTTTTGTCACATTTAGAACTAATCTTTTGTATCAATTCAAGTTTAGCTACTTAAGAAAATCTTGTGTGTATGCATGTACATACACACACACACAGCCAATTTGGTCCTGTTTGGTCCTATTGGTCCTATTGGTCCTATTTGGTTTTAATGATTGAGCTTTGGTCTAGTCATGCAGAGATATCCTGGGTTCATAGGTCCTGGCAGTTTCAAACCAGATTTTTTCTACAACTGCCTGACCTAGGTCAAACATCTGCTGCAGGTGCTTCCAGCCGGTCTTGGCGGTAATCATGAGATACTCTCTATTCTCTGGGTGCAGCTGGCAAGAGTACGCAGCCATGACCAGCGACTGGCAGAACCGAGCACACACAAGCAGGAACAAGGCACTCCTCTCCACGGCCGTCAATGGGATGACACTTTCAAACCCTGCCAGGACATGACCCCCAACGTGCATGGGATCCTTGCTCTCAATCATCATGTACATGATGGTGATGGCCACTTCAAACACGTAGTAACCATAGCTCATATCATCAAAATCCAAAATCCCAGATACTTGGTCCACATTATCTCCAGAAGCTGACTGGCTGGATTGTACCAAAATATTATGGTCATTAAAATCTCCATGATTGATACCTGAAAGGAGAAAAAAAAAACCACATCAAGATGGTTATTTCATAGCCCTGTACATGCTCTGTCCAGTCCACGTTCTTACGCAAAGCCATTAAGATAATTTGATTAGTAGTCACCAGTAGAAGGGTCAGAGGCCACTGTTGTGCTGGGGGCTTAAGCTATTGCCTGCAATGCCAGCATCCCACAAGTTCTGGCTGCTCCACTTCTGGTGCAGCACCCTGCTAATACGTCTGGGAAAGCAGAGGAAGATGGTCCTAATCCTCCCATCCAGGTGGGAGAGCAGGATGGAGTTCCAGGCTCCTGACTTAACCCTGTCCTCAGTCCTGGCTGTTGCAGCCATTTGAGGAGTGAGCCAGAAGATGAGAGACATCTGTGTGTCTTTCTCTCTGTGTCTCCATCTTTTTCTGTCTTTCAAACAACTAATGTAATTCATTATATCAATGAGAAAAATAATATAACCAGCTCAGTAGATCTGCATTAAAATATGTTTCACATCAGGGACTCTGCCTTGGATGGCACTGGGTAGCCATCCCCCATCCCAGGGTACTGACGCATTGGGATGCTGAGTGTGGCTTATCCCTTTCCATCTCCTCTTCTCCCAGATAGAAGAAAAAAAATGGAGACAATGGTCTCATCCACTTTCCGCTATTCCTCGACCCTTCTCATCCCAATCAGTGGTCCACACAGACAGGTATGTATCCTTCTCAACTATGTAAACATCATCAAAAATAAAAAGTGTTTTTAAATACAAAAAAAAAAAGACCTGGTAAGAGTCAACATTTATTCATGATATAAATTTTTACCAAATCAGGAATAAAAGGGGACTTCTTCCATTTTAAGTTTTATTAATTTATTTATTTTGGGGGCAGGTTACCCAGCCACTTGATCCTCAGCCTGCTGCCTCCCAGGGTATGCCTCAGCAGGAAACTGGAGTCAGGAGTGAGCCAAGGCTGAACTGAGGTACTCCCTGTGTGGGATGCAGGTGTCCTAAGCAGGGCCTTACCCGCCATGGTGAACTCTCACCCAGGAGAGCTTCCTTACGCTTAAAAAAAGAGCTGACCAAAGTCCTACAGTCATCATCATAGTCAAAGTTGAACAGTGAAAGTGTTTCCCTGGAGTGCAGGAGTGTGGAGCAAGGCACACAGGGACACTCAAGGACAGAGGACAAAGGAAATGAGAGGACTGTTTTTCCTCCATGAAATCATAATGATGTGGAGAGGACACGAATCATGTGGGTCTCCTGAAGCATCCAACGTAAGGTATTGCAGTTGATACCACCAAGGGCTGTTTCTAGATTCCAGCAACAAAAGGTGAAATGTGGAATGACACATTTGCATTTTAGAATACCAAGCACCTAGAAGGTCGGTGCAATGGCTCAAAAGCTGATTTTCTACCTTGCAGCACCAGCATCCCTCATGAGCGCCAGTCTAGTCTAGGCTGCTCCACTTCCTACCCGGTTCCCTGCTTGTGGCCTGGGAAAGCAGTAATAGATGGCCCAAAGCCTTGGGACCCTGCAAACACGGGAGACCAGGAAGAACTCTGGCTTCAGATTGGCTCAGCTCAGGCTGTTGCAGCAATCTGGGGAGTAAACCAGTGGTTGGAAGACCCCTCTCTCTGTCTCTCTGTCTCTCCTTCTCTCTGTAAATCTGCCTTTCCTTTGGGCAATGCAGAAAGCTTAGTATATACCTATTAAATCTGTCTGCTCACGTACATGGGTAGATTCTGAAGCAGACGGAAGCACTACATTCAGAGTGCTTCCTTTTTCTCCAAATTTATCTACAGACTCAATCCAATTCCAATGTAAAGCTAAATAGATTTTAAAGAAAACAGGTAAAACTGATGATAAATACGGTATGAAACCAAAAGTACTGAACCCTCTTGTAGAAAAATAAGAAGGCAGGAAGACAGAATCTACCATATATGAAACCTTAAAAAGCATCAATAGGAGGCAAGTGCAGTAGCATAGTAAGCTAATTCTCCATCTGCTAGCACCAGCATCCCAAATGGGCACTAGTTCATAGTCCTGGATTCTCCATTTCAGTCCAACTCTCTGCTTATGGCCTGGGAAAACAGCAAAGGATGGCCTAAGGCCTTGGGACCTTGCACCCACTTGGGAGACCAGGAGGAAGCTCCTGGCTGCTGGTTTTGGACTGGCTCGGCTCCAGTCATTATGATCTTTCAGGGAGTCAATCAGTAGATGGGAGATCTTTCTCTGTCACTTCTCTCTCTCTCTGCAAAATCTGCCTTTCAAAAAAAAAGTAAATAAATATACCTTAAAAAAATATTTATTTTTATTGGAAAGTCAGATTTACAGGGAGAAGGAGAGACAGAGAAAAATCTTCCAAACTCTGACTTACTCCACAAGTGGCCACAATGGTCAGAGTTGAGCTGATCTGAAGCCAGGAGCCTATCTGCAGCTTCTTCCAAGTCTCCCACACGTGGGTGCAGGGTCCCAAAGCTTTGGGCCATCCTCAACTGCTTTCCCAGGCCACAAGCAGGGAGCTGGATGGGAAGCGGGGCTGCCAGGACATGAACCTGCACTTACATGGGATCCCAGTGCATGCAAAGTGAGGACTTTAGCCACAACACTACCACGCTAAGTTTATAAATAAATTAAAAGAGAGAGAGAGAGACATTAACACAGTATGGTCAACTTGCGAGATACACACAAATTTTCCAGGTAGCTGGCTTCCAGGAACATGCTGGGTTGTAAAAGTCCAACTCCTCAGGTAGTCATTTGTGCTCACATGACCTGCCTGGTGGCCACTGACACATGGACAGGAGTGACATCCTTTTGGGGCAGAAGCCTTCACGCCAGCATACAGTGGGCTGCCTTCTCTTTCCCCTGCCATGGCCAGATGTAGGTGGGTCAAAGTCCTACTGGCCTGCATTCCAGGGTGAGATCGGGTAGGACACAGCATGGGCAATCCCCGAGTGGTGTGCAGCTGGAGCTAGCATGGAGCCTGTGCCAGGTGGTCCCTGGGGAGCAAGGGTGACCTGCCAGTGCCGCACCCCTCACCTGGCTGCAGAGAAACCAGAGGAGAAAAACAGAAAGCACAGGGAAACATGAACGATTTATACCACAGAAGGGACCATAAGCCAAGGGGGGGAGGGGGGCTGTTTGCATGAACAGTGGTGAGAAAATGTATAACTTGTAAGGAAAAAATTAATAGACATAAAAATAGATTCCAGAGAGGCTGTAGATCTCAGATGAAACTTTAGGAAGAACAAATAAGATAATGATCCTGACAATAAGGATTGGGAAAAATTCCCACCAACAAACAAAGATTTATCAAAACGCACCCTACAGCGAAAAATACAAACATGAAACTGGATGGAATACTAGTAATGCATATAATGAACAAAGAGCTCCTATGCAGAATATATTTAGAACTTCTAGTAATCTATGCCTACAAAAAAAAAAACCCACAAAAAAACCAAAAAGATTCCAACAGAAAAATGGCAAGAGACATGAATGGGCACTTCACAAATGGTCAGCGAGTAGGGCAATGGACCCTGCAGCCACAAGGAGAAATCAGTAAGCCCATTTCAGATGAGGCAAAACGTTACAGCTTGACATACCAAGGGGGCCAACCAATGGAGACATCTATGCAACATTGTGGTAGTCCAGTGGGAAAAGTTCTTGCCTTACACACACTAAGATCCCATATGGGCGCCAGTTCATATCCCGGTGGCCCCACTTCCCATCCAGCTCCCTATCTGTGGCCTGAGAAATCAGTCAAGGATGGCCCCAAACCTTGGGACCCTGCACCCACATGGGAGACCTGGAAGAAGCTCCTGGCTCCTGGCTTCTGATCAGCTCAGCTCCTGCAGTTGCAGTTACTTGCGGAGTGAATCAATGGATGATGATCTTTCTATCTGTCTCTGCTCCTCTCTGCTTATCTGCCTTTCCAATAAGTAAATAAATATATAAATTCATTAATTTTAAAAAAGCCATGTGCGAGAACAATACAGGTGCCACTGACACAATTAAAAAAAAGGAAAAAAAAAAAAGAAAAAGAAAAATCATGGAGGATAAGGCTTAGAACACCATCTCCCCATCTCAGAGTGCTTGAGTTTCAGTCCTTCCTACTCTGCTTCCTATCCAGCTTCCTGCGAATGCCCACCCTGGGAGGCAGCAGGCGATGGCTCAGGTACCTGCCACCCAGAGGGAAGACCAGGATGAAGCCCTTGGCTCCTGGGTTCATTCTGGCTCAGCTCTGACTGTCCTGGGCATTTATGGAGTAAACCAGGAGCCAGAAGATCTCTCTCCCTCTTTGTTTCTGTCTGCCTTTCAAATAAATGAAAATAAGGGCCTGGCATGGTAGTCTAGTGGCTTACATCCACCAGTATCCCATATGGGCACTGATTCATGTCCCATCTGTTCCACTTCCCATCCAGCTCCCTGCTTGTGGCCTGGGAAAGCAGTAGAGGATGGCCCAAAGCTTTGGGACCCTGCACCTGTGTGGGAAACCTGGAAAAATCTCCAGATAGGCTTGGCTGCAGCCATAATGGCTGCGTGGGGAGTGAACCAGCAGAAGGAAGAACTTTCTCTCTGTCTCTCCTTCTCTCTATACATCTAACTTTCCAATAAAAATGAATGAATCTTAAACACACATACACGGAGAAGCAGCTAAGTTAAAAAGAAAAAGGAAACACACACAACACACAAAGTTTACCACAGCATGGTTCTTGGGAAATAGTCCAAATATATCTCAAGAGTAGAATAACGTGTGGTATGTGGTTGGCATGCAACCTAGCAGGCGAATCCTGTGGCCCTTGCGTTCTTTAGAGGCACTGGCTCATGGCCCAGCTGCTCCTCTTTCTATCTAGCTTGCTGGGAAAGCACTAGAGGATGGCACAAGGCCTTGGATCCCTGCGCCCACACGGGAGACACATAGGAAGCTCCTGACTCCTGGTTTTGGACTGGCCCAGCTCTGCCTGTCGTAGCCATCTGGAGAGTGAAGCAGCACATGGAAGATCTCTCTGTCTTTCTTTCTCTCTCTGTAATTCTGACTTTCAAGTAAAATACATAAATCTTTAAAAAGATTTTTAATCAAACACAGTAATAAAAGTTTGTTATACCGACACACAATAGCATGGAGAATCTTTCAAAAGCAATGTTGAAAAACAAAAAGCAAAACAAAGCAAAACAAACCAAGAACAAAAAGGGACGTCACAAATGAAGATGAGGGAGGAGCAGGAGCAGAGACTAAACAGCAGACTGCTGCCCTGGTCTGGTGACAAATGGAGGTGTCCGGGATCAGGCTGCAGTGCTAAAGGTGGAAGAAGTGGCTAACGGAGGACATCTTCTCTCCTTTTTTTTTTTTTTTAAAGATTTACTTATTTTGATTGGAAAGGCAGATACACAGAGAGGAGGAGAGACAGAGAAGAAGATCTTCTGTCTGATGATTCACACCCCAAATGGCTGTAATGCCTGGAGCTGCGCCAATCTAGAGCCAAGAGCCAGGTGCCAGGATTAGAACCGGCACCCATATGGGATCCCAGCGTGCGCAAAGCGAGGATTTTAGCCACTAGGCTACCTGTGCCAGGCCCATCTTTTCTTTATAAAGATTTCAAAGGCAGAGTGAGGAGGAGAAGAGGGTGAGAGACAGCAGAGCTTCTCAAACAATGGTTCATTCTCCAAATGCCTAAAGTCATGGCAAAGTCAGGAGCCAGGAACACTGTGCAGGTCTCCCATGCGGGGGCAGGGGCTCAGTGCGTGAGCCATCACCTGCTGCCTGCCAGGGTGTCTCAGCAGGAAGCCAGAATCGGGAAGCACATCCAGGACTCAAACCCAGGCATTCCAATATAGGATGTGGGTGTCCCCGGAAGTCTGAGCTGCTAAGCCAAATGTCAACTGGGGTAGCTTCTGAAGTTAGAACAGACAGAACTGGATGTGGGATGTGAGAGAAAGAGCAAAGTCAAGGCCGAGGATGCTTGGATATTTTTGGCTTAGATCAGCCACGTGAAAGGGAACATTTCTTAATGAGATGAGGACTGGGGGCGGGAGGGGGGAAATAAATTTTTTTCTTTTTAAAAAAAGATTTATTTTTATTTGAAAGGCAGATAAGATCTACAGAGAAAAGGAGAGACAGAGAGGAAGATTTTCCATCTGTTGATTCACTCCCCAAGTGGCCACATTGGCCGGAACTGCACCAATCTGAAGCCAGGAGCCAGGAGCTTCTTCCGGGTCCTCCACGTGGGAGCAGGGTCCCAAGGCTTTGGGCTGTTCTTGACTGTTTTCCCAGGCCACAGACAGGGAGCTGGATAGGAAGCGGGGCCACCGGGATAAAGCTGGCACTCATATGGGATCCCAGTGCTTGCAAGGCAAGAATTTAGCCTTTAAACCATTGTGCCAGGCCCTGGGGTATAAGGGAGGAAGAGTGTGGAAATAAATTTTGAAGGGGCTAAGAAACCAAGTTGGTTTTTATGCTTCAACTCCACACATGTTTACACAAACTAAGCAAAAGGCAAGAGACAGACAGAGTGATTGCACTGGGCCCAGCTGGAAATGCACCTGAGGTCCCTGTAGCCGATGCTGGGTGCAAAGGCCAGCAGACACGGCCCTGAGTGTTGACAAAGAGTGAGTGAGAGTGAGAGAGAGCGAGAGAAAGAGAGAGAGAGAGAAGCTACAATTCCATTCACAAGAACACAGAGAAAAAATTATGATAAATTCAAACAGATTATGGTATAGTCATGCTTACAGAGTATTATTCAGCAGACAAAAAACTAATAAGCCAAATAAACTAAGCTTACATATATCAATACGGATTATTCTGAAAACCACATGGAATTTGAAAAGTAGGTTGTGGACCAAATGCTGCCACAAATTACACATTTGTTGTCTGCCCACTTAGCAGGCAACAAACAAGTGGGCTCTTGTGAGGTTTGGTTGGGGGCTTCAAATCCAGCCACTTCCAAAACAATAGAAACACTATGTTGGGGGCCTGGCACAGTAGCCTAGTAGCTAAAGTCCTTCCTTTGCACACTCCAGGATCCCATGTGGGTGTTGGTTTGTGTTCTGGCTGTTCCGCTTCCCATTCAGGCCCTGCTTGTGGCCTGGAAAAGCAGTTGAGGACGGCCCAAAGCCTTGGAACCCCATACCCACATGGGAGACCTGGAAGAAGCTCTTGGCTTTGGCTCAGCTCAGCTCTGGCTAGTGTAGCCACTTGGGGAGTGAATCAGCAGACAGAAGATCTGCCTCTCTTTCCTCTCTGTAGATCTGACTTTCCAATAAAAATAAAATAATTCCTTAAAAAATAAAAGGTCCCGGGCCCGGCGCGGTGGCGCAAGTGGTTAAAGGTCCTCGCCTTGCACACCCGGGATCCCATATGAGGGCCGGTTCTAATCCCGGCAGCCCCACTTCCCATCCAGCTCCCTGCTTGTAGTCTGGGAAAGCAGTTGAGGATGGCCCAAAGCCTTGGGATCCTATACAAATATGGGTGACCCGGAAGAGGCTCCCAGCTCCTGGCTTCAGACTGGCATAGCACAGGCCGTTGCAGTCACTTGGGGAGTGAAACATAGGATGGAAGATCTTCCTCTCTGTCTCTCCTCCTCTCTGTATATCTGACTTTACAATAAAAATAAATAAATCTTAAAAAATAAAAACAAAACTAAAAGGCAATAGGAGCTAATATGGTAAGGGCTGAAGTTTTATCTTAATAAAATTTTTAAAAGATTTAGTTATTTGAAAGGTATATAGAAAAAGAGATTTTGGGCCTGGCGGCGTGGCCTAGTGGCTAAGGGCCTCGCCTTGAATGCACCGGGATCCCATGTCGCCGGTTCTAATCCCAGCAGCTCCATTTCCTCTCTATCTCTCCTCCTCTCTGTATATCTGACTTTGTAATAAAAATAAAATAAATCTTAAAAAAAAAAAAAAGAGATTTCCTAGCTGCTGGTTTATTCCAAATGCCTGTAACAGCCAGGGCTGGGTCAGGGCAAACCCGGCAGCCTGGAACTCCATATGGGTCTCCTCTGTGGGTACAGGGGCTCAAGCACTTGGCCACCCTTCCCAGGTGCATGAGCAGGGACCTGGACTGGAAGCAGAGTAACCAGGACTTGAACCGGGTGCTCCAACACAGGCGGTGACGTAACCCACGATGCCAATGCCTAGCCCGGCTTGGGGATCTGAGGCAGCTGAGCTCCACACCTGTCTGATGTGAAGATCCTGAGACGCTAGTATGGTGGAGAATACTCACATTCCCGGAAGTGATTCAGCTTGCCTGCTACCTGCTGTTTGAACAGCTGGATGACCCGCTTCACTGTCTGTCGGCTGTGATTCTGGCCTAAGGCTCCCACATACTGGTCCAGCAGTGGTACATTCTTCAGATTCCAGATGAAGCCCTCCCGATGGAGGCAGCTCAACTTGGGGTGACGGAATTCCTATGGAATGGGAGAGATGATGCTTGACCCACGGCAGTGGCCCCGGTTGCACGGGTGGCAGTGGTGGACACTTGGTGCCCTCTCATGGTCACTGCCTCACAGCATCTATGAGCAGTGTGGTACCCACCCGCCCGGAGCATTACAGGGTCTGCTGGCTTTGGAGCACACTCCCACTTTCCCTTGTGTGTCGACAGGTACTTTAAAATAAATGTGTTCATTTATTTCTTTTGTATTTTATTTGAAAGGCAGAGAGAAAGATCTTCCATCTGTTAGTTCACTACCCAAATGCTGACAAAGAACTGAGGTTGGGCCAGGTTGAAGCCAGGAGCTCCATCTGGGCATCCTGCAGGGATGGCAGGGACCCAAGTGTTTGAGACATCACCCAGCGCCTCCCAGGATGCACATGACAGGAGGGAGTCAGGACTGGAGGCAGGCACTCAGATACTAGATACAAGACGCAAAGCCCCGAGCAGTGCCGTAGCCACTGCACCTGGCCCCTGTCCTACACACGGCAGAGCTCACAAAACGGATGGAGGCAGCTCTGAAGAACGGCTCCCTCTCCCAGGCCCCATCGCCTCTCTGTCCACAGCTTCTGCTCACTCTAAGGCTGCTCAGCAACCATGCCTGGCATCTCCCAGCACTCTCGCCCTGGGCTGCCCTGCCCACTCAGTCACATGGTAGCGCCTTCATCCTACCATCCCAAAACCACCTTCCTGACCATGCCGTCTAAACCATTCACCCTTCTCATCCCAACATTTTGCAACCCTTTCCTCTGCCTATCTTTTTCTTCTTAGCACTTATCATGGTCTAACATTCACCCCATCATCTACTTCCACAGCTCCCTGCCCTTCCTCACCAGCATTTAAGCTCCTTGTGGGGCAGGGAGCCCTTTGCCATTCACCATGGTGGCCTCACACCTAGAATGGTGCCTTTTCAGAAGGGACCACTCAGTCCCCTACTGAATACGCAGCTGTTCCACGGAAAAGACATTCTGAAATTGGGATGGCCTGTAGGTTTTAATAATTATTATTTTTTTAAGATCTCGACCTAGCCTTCCGGTCACTTGGGCTTTGCCACCAGATGAACCAAGGATCTTGTCTCGTCACAGCCATGGAGCATGAGCTGTGTATAAGAGCTGACTTCTCTGAGCTCCTCATGGTGTGTGAGTCTAGCCCAGCCCACCTCCATAGCTTCCCCATGCTGGCCCGACACCTTAGCTTCCATTTCCCAAGCACTCCACTTCCTCAGCTACAAAGCTCACTCATGAGCCTGAGAGACAGCCTCATCTTACTCACACTTAACCTTGAACTGGACTTCAAGTCCATCTGCGGACCACACAGACATCAACTTCCAGTACACACCACACGGTCCCTAAAGCATAGACCTGGGCTTAAGATAGCCTGCCTGGGAATTCACACACCTAGCACCCCGCTCCCTTCAAACACACTGGGGGAAGCAGAGTCTATTTGCAAAAGAAGCAAATGGGGGCCAACATGTTGGCATGGTGGTTAAAGCCAACCCCTGCAACTCAGCTTTCCATTGAAGCATTGGGCCATGCCCCTTCCTATCCAGCTCTCTGCTCATGTGCCTGGGAAAGGAACAGAAGATGGCCCACGTCTTTGGGCCCCTGCACCCCTGTAGGAGACCCAAATGAAGCTCCTGGCTCCTGGCTTCAGCCTGGCCCAGCCCTGACCATTGTGGCCATGTGGGGAGTAAACCAGCAGATGCTTGATTTCTCTGTTCCAACTCTTTCACATACAAACAAATCTTTAAAAATAAACAAATGGACAAGCCCCTCCCAATCGCACCTCCAGCGTCTTGTCCAGTCTGGCCGCCAGCCTCCCGATGTCGTAGAGCAGCTGGGAGCTGACTGGCAGCTCAGCGACGGGTCTGCCGGGAAGGTAGGTGAGCAGCCGCACCACGTAGCTGCTGGTGCTGGAACCGCTGTCTACAGGAAGAAAAAGCACAGCTAGCAATGCAGCACTTTCTTTGTATACATGCTTATTTTAAAAACACAGAGAGAAATGTTCCATCCATTGATTTGCTCTCCAAACAGCTGTAACAGCTGGAGCTGGATTGGTCCAAAGCCAAGAGCCAGGAGTTTCATTCAGGTCTCCCATGAGGCTGCAGGGGCCTAAGCACTTGGGCCAGCCTCTGCTGCTTTCCCAGGCATATTAACAGAGGGCTGGATCACAAACAGAGCAGCTGGGACTGGAACTGACTCCCACATGAGATGCCAGTGTTGCAGGTGGCAGCCCAATCCATCATGTAATAAATAACACAACCTCCGTATGAACTATTTATTCAAAGGGCAGCCAGACACAGAATACAGTACTTCATTTTCCAAGTGGCCACAACAGCCAGGGCTGGGCCAGACCAAAGCCAGGAGCTCCATCCAGGTTTCCCACGTGGGAGGCAGGAGCCCAAAAACTTGGACTATTTTGTCCATTGCCTTCTCATGTGCACTAGCCGGGAGCTGGATCAGAAACAGAGCAGCTGAGACTTGAACCAGCGCCCATAGCGGACGCCAGCATCTCAGGCAGCAGCATTGGCTTATCAACTGTTCTTGAAAAAAAATAAAAAGCCTCTATTTTGTCTTTGCAATTACTAATGAAAAGAATAAAAATCATTGAAGACCAAAAAAAAAAAAAAAAAGAAAAGAAAAGAAAAGAAAAAAAAAGTACTATCCTAAAACAACTTAGCAGATTCGAGGTCACAGGGCTACATGGATGAAATGTACAGCTAGGACAATGTTACTGACCCTGGAAGCGGGCATCTAATAAAGCAGTTAAGAGGTGGCTAAGAATGGCCCCATCCACATGGGAGTCCCTGGGTTCGAGTCCCAGCTCTGCTTCTGATTCCAGCTTCCTGCTAATGCCCACCCTGGGAGGCTTAGGTGCTTGGGCCACCTGCCACCCAAATGGGCGACCAGATGAAGTAGCCAGCTACTGCCTTAGACCTGGTGCAGCGCCAGCTATTGTGGCCATTTGGGGGTGTGAACCAACAGACAGATCTTTCTGTGTCTTTCCAATAAATAAAACTTAAAAATTTTTTAAAGTCAAAATTGGCCATTTAGATACCACCAAATTGCAGTCTAGCTCTGCTGGTCTTGGCTCCCAACAAAAACCATCATTGCAGTAAACAAACGGTTAAAACCCACTCTCTAGGACCAACGCTGTAGCCTAGTAGCTGAAGTCCTCCCCTTACACACAGCAGGGTCCCTTATGAACACCAATTCTAATCCCAGAGGCCCCACTTCTCATCCAGCTCCCTGCTTGTGACCTGGGAAGGCAGTTGAGGACGGCCCAAAGCCTTGGAACCCTGCAACCATCAGGGAGACCTAGGAGAGGCACCAGGCTCCTGGCTTCAGATCGGCTTAGCTCCAGCTGTTGTGGCTGCTTGGAGAGTGAATCATAGGATGGAAGATCTTTCTCTCTGTCTCTTCTCCTCTCTGTTTATCTGACTTTCTAATAAAGAATATATAAATCTTGGGCCCGGTGCGATGGTGCAGTGGTTAAGGTCCTCGCCTTGCACGCCCCAGGATCCCATATGGGTGCCGGTTCTAATCCTGGCAGCCCCGCTTCCCATCCAGCTCCCTGCCTGTGGCCCGGGAAAGCAGTCGAGGACGGCCCAAAGCTTTGGGACCCTGCACCCATGTGGGAGACCCGGAAGAGGCTCCTGGCTTTGGATCGGCATAGCATCGGCCGTTGCACTCACTTGGAGAGTGAATCATCGGATGGAAGATCTTCCTCTCTGTCTCTCCTCCTCTCTGTATATCCGCCTTTCCAATAAAAATAAAATAAATCTTAAAAAAAAAAAGAATATAGTGAAAATAAGTAAATAAATTTAAAAAAAGAATATATAAATCTTTAAAATATTTTTTAAAATCCACCCTCTCTGGCAGTCTGCATTTGAGAAAAATGAGGTATGAAGAAATGACTGCTGTGCCATCACTAACTTCTCTAGAGTAAACTGAGGCACAGACTGTTTTTTTAACCAGGATACCACCTCTTCCTCTGGGGCCACATCTGGGCCTTGGTTGTTTGAAGCAATACAAATGAAAAAGAATGGATAAACAGTGGAGAGAGAAAAAGACAGCCTCTTTTAAAAAAAAAACTTTAGCATTTAGGCCAGTGTTGTGGCATCAGGCATAAGACACTGCCTGCAGCACTTGCATCCCATATGGACACCAGTTCAAGTTCCAGCTGCTCCACCTCCAATCCAGCTCCCTGCTAACATGCCTGGGAAAGCAATAGAGGATGATCCAAGAGCTTGGATCCCCACACCCACGTAGGAGACCTGGAAGAAGCTCCTGGCTTCCCCCTGGGCCAGAGCTGGCTATTTGCAGCCATTTGGGGAGTGAACCAGCAGAGAGGAGATCTCTCTTTTTATCTCTATCTCTGTCTTGTGCTTTGTCTGTAATTTTTGCCTTTCTGTTGCAAGCCGCATCTGTATGCACTGGCCACATGCTGTGCCTAAAATGGCGCCGGCCGGAGAAGCCACACCTTCGTGCGTGTCACGTAGCCTAGCGCATGCGCAGTGAGCTGCGGCGTGGCCGGCACGTGAACACTGGGGACTGACGAATCCAGTCGCCCAGGACCCTGCGTGATCATGACGCCGACCTATCATCGGCGGAGGCGGGGCCAGTCAGCACATAAGAGCAGAAAGACTGCCGGGGTCCGCCCCTTTCCTCTTCCTCATCTTTGTGCGCGCAATAAACTTTACCGCAGAAGGCTTCACTCGCGTCTGCCTCTTACTGCTGGGCGGTAAGACACGTGGGCGCGACAACTGGTGCCGGGAACCCGGGACCTGGAGGGGGCCTCCCGTTTCGAACGGGTGGAAGTCAGAACTGCGGCCAAAAGACAGGTAAGGAGCTCTGAGAGGGAGAACTTTCGGGTGACTAGGAGCATAAATCGGAGGTATAGGAACCACCGCTTCTGGTTATAGACATGGGCGCACGGTTCTCTCTGGTGAAATTTTTGCAGAGGGTTTATGCCCTCCGTAAGGGAGCGGTCAGAGAGAGTGACAAAGCCCTTCAGTCTGCCCAGGATAGTCTCTCAGAAACAGAGCGGGAGAGGAGAACCGGTTTGAAGCAAAAAATAGAGGTGAAATTGAAAGCAGTATCTTCCTCATCAAGTTCGGAGACGTCCGACGCGGAGGAAGGGTACAAGCGGCATAGGCGCTTAGGACGCAAACAACCCGCAGGAATCAGAGGAGGATCAGAAAAGGAGAAGAAAGAGAATGGCGGTGCTACTGCGCCGGCCAGGAGCGGCCCATGGCCTCAGGGCTCTGGAGCCATTACACTAATGGCTCCTCCTGCTGTGAAGCCATCTGCCCCGCCCATGAGTTGTGGCGCCGGCTCCTCCTTCATCGATGCAGCCGCGCGCCGGGAACTTCAAGATATGTTCCCCGTCTTAGAAGAAGAAAGGGAAAGAGTTTACAGACAGGTAGATGCAGCATTAGTGCGAGAATTGGCCATGTCTGTAAAGCAATATGGTCTTCATGCCAATTACACTTTGTCCCTGTTAGAACGTATGGGGGGAATGAATATGACTCCCTCTGATTGGCAATTTGTGGTGAAGGCTGTTCTCCCTAATATCGGATCATATCTAAATTGGAAGAGCCTATGGCAAGAGCTTTTGGCTGAGACCGCCCGGGCAAACCAACAGCGCGGCGGTGATGCTTTGACCTGGACTTATAATATGCTTTCTGGACAAGGCCAATACTCTGATGATCAAAAGAGATATCCATGGCCAGTTTATACTCAAATTTCTACTGCAGCTATAAAGGCTTGGAAGGCCCTTTCACTTAAAGGGCAAGAGAAACTGGGCATTACACAGGTTAAGCAGGAGCCGGATGAGCCCTTTGCTGATTTTGTGGCACGCGTAATGCAGGCCGTGGAAAGGACCTTTGGAGAGGGAGATCAGAACACTAGAATGGTAGAGCAGATAGTTTGGGAGCAGTGTAATGCAGAATGTAGAGCCCTACTCAAGGATCGTAAGTCCAAGGGAATTTCAGATTGGCTAAAGGTTTGTAGGGATACAGGAGGCCCCTTAACAGCTCATGGACTAGCAGCCGCCATTTTGAGGTCTAATCATAGGGAGAGAATATCACCTGTGTGCTTTCAGTGTGGAAAACCAGGACATATGAAAAGGGAATGCCGTGCAGGGCCTAGCAATAAGCCTCCTGGGATGTGCCCACGGTGCCGCAAAGGTAGACATTGGGCCAATGAGTGCAAGTCAGTGAAGGACATAGAAGGACGCCCTCTCTCGAGCCAGGAGTCAAAAAACGGGAGATGGGGACCGAAGGCCCAGGTCCCCTTGACCGACCGGGCACTCTTCCGTCATGCACGAGGGGACCCTGCCAGGAGCGACACCCTGCAAGCCTGGACCTCTGTGCCACCACCGGAGTCCTCTTAAAACCAGAGGACGGCATTACGCCGGTACCGGTCATCTTAACAGACACGGTACCACCTGGTGCGGTCGGGCTTGTGATAGGCCGAGCAGCCTTGAGCTCTCAAGGTTTTATTGTAACACCTGGAATTTTACATCCGGAAGCTAGCTCCTTTTCAGTGCTGTGCTCAGTTGCACGAGGTGCTTTTGCTGTTGCGCCAGGTGATCCTATAGCCCAACTCATATTTTTACCAGCTTTAATTAGTGCAGATAAGACTGTTCAGACCCGAGTAGAGGTTCCTTATATAAATTTAATGATGGATATGGTCGATAGACCCATACTTGAGTTGCAAATAGAGAATAGACCGTTTATGGGACTTTTAGACACAGGAGCTGATAAGAGCATCATAACCTCCAAGTATTGGCCGCGTGATTGGCCTTTGATTCAAACTTCTCATAGCCTACGCGGTCTGGGGTTTGAACAAGCTCCATCCCAAAGTGCCAGAGCCCTACAATGGAAGGATAAGGAAGGCAATTGCGGGACAGTCACACCATATGTCCTGAACCTACCGGTTTGCCTTTGGGGAAGAGATATTCTTCAACAGATGGGGATACGACTAGTCTCCAATGCCTCTGGTTATTCTGAAGTCTCTCAAAAGTTGATGGATAAAATGGGCTATATTCAAGGAAAAGGTTTAGGTAAACAGAGTCAAGGTATTGTCCAGCCAATTGAACCCCGGGGAAATCCAGGCCGTAAAGGTCTGGGTTTTTAGTAGCGGCCATTGGCGTGCAGCTGCCCATACCCTGGAAAACAGCGGAGCCGGTTTGGGTTCCCCAATGGCCGCTTTCTCTTGAAAAATGCCAAGCTGCTCAACAATTAGTTCAGGAACAGCTACATTTGGGACATCTGGAGCCCTCTGTTTCTCCTTGGAATACTCCTATCTTTGTTATCAGAAAGAAATCAGGAAAGTGGCGCCTCCTACATGATTTAAGAGCTGTAAATGCACAGATGCAGTACTTTGGCCCCGTTCAACGTGGCCTTCCAGTTTTGTCATCCCTCCCTAAGCAATGGCCGTTATTAGTGATTGATTTGAAGGATTGCTTTTTTTCTATACCATTAGCATTGAAGGATAGGGAGAGGTTTGCTTTTACTATTCCCTCCATTAATCATGAAGAGCCGGATAAACGATATCAATGGAAAGTTTTGCCCCAGGGGATGGCTAACAGTCCTACCATGTGTCAACTTTATGTTGCCCAAGTGTTACAACCACTGCGAGATCGTTTTCCAGCGGCCCGCATCGTCCATTATATGGACGATATTTTAATTTGTACTCAAGAGCAAGATCAGTTGTTGCAGATTTACGTTGATCTGAAGCGGGCTCTACAGGATTATGGCCTTATGATTTCATCCGAGAAGGTTCAAATACAGCAGGTGAAAGCCTTCTTAGGGTCTTTAATTACAGAAACATATATTAAGCCTCAAAAGATAAGCCTCAAGATTTCTCATTTGCGAACTTTGAATGATTTTCAGAAATTAGTGGGGGATATTAATTGGTTGCGACCTTTCCTTAAGATCTCTTCTCAAGAGTTACGGCCTTTGTTTGCTCTGCTTGAAGGCGATTCTGATCTCACTTCCAGGCGAACCCTCACCCCTGAGGCACAACAGGTCATAATAAAAGTCCAGGAAGCTATTGAAAAGGCTCAATTAGTACGCCTAGATCAAAATCAGCCTTTTGAGCTATGTGTATTGCCTACAGAAGTTTTCCCCACTGCTGTATTATGGCAACAGGGCCCGTTACTTTGGATTCATTCTCAGGTTTCTCAGATTAAGTCTATTCAGTGGTATCCATCTGCAGTCGCATCAATAGTGTTTAAAGGATTAAAATTAGCCTTAATTCATTTTGGGCGTCATCCAGACCGCATAATAGTCCCCTATACTGTCCAGCAATTACAAGTGCTGAGTGGGTGTAGCAATGAGTGGTCCATCTTAATGTTTGTCTATCAGGGAACTTTTGATAATCATTTTCCAAGGCATCCATTACTACAATTTTTACAGCGACATCCTGTGGTTTTTCCGATAAGAACCAGTGCCTGTCCTCTCCCTGGTGCTCTTACAATTTTTACTGACGGTTCCTCGACAGGAGCCGGAGCCTTAGTTGCCGGAGATACTGTAATAAAAAAGACCTTTGCGACGGTTTCTCCTCAGAGGGTAGAATGCCATATGGTGCTTTTTGCCTTACAAACCTTTCTAGAACCTTTAAATATTGTTTCTGATTCTCAATATGTTGTTAATGCAGTGAATGTTTTGGAGGCCGCTGGCTCTATTTCAGGGTCCGGCCCGGTGGCGGATCTCTTTAAACAAATTCAACAGGCCATATGGCATAGAAGCCACCCCTTTTATATAACCCATATCCGAGCTCATTCAGGTTTACCAGGGCCATTAGCTCGAGGGAATGCTCTTGCCGATGCCGCCACCAGAACCCAAATCATGATTATGATGGTGTCTCCACCATCCTCAGGGGAGAGAGCCCGCCAGTTTCATTCACAATTTCATGTTTCAGCCCAGACCCTCAGACTCCGATTTGGGATCACTAGAAAGGAAGCGCGCCAGATAGTTCTTGATTGCCCTGCCTGCTGCGAATTTAGACCTGCTTCACATGAGGGGGTCAATCCTAGGGGATTGAGACCCAATCAATTGTGGCAGATGGATGTGACACACGTCCCATCCTTTGGGAGGAACCAATTTGTTCATGTATCCGTGGACTCCTTTTCTGGTGTGCTCTTTGCATCAGTTCTAACTGGGGAGAAGGCCATCCATGTAATCCAGCATTGCTTAGAAGCATGGGCCGCATGGGGTAAACCTGAATGTATTAAGACTGATAATGGTCCCGCCTATACTTCAGCCAAATTTCGTGATTTTTGCATGAAGATGGGCGTCAAATTAGTGACTGGCATCCCTTATAATCCACAAGGTCAGGGGATAATCGAACGTGCTCATCGCTCTATTAAGGAATTGTTACAAAAACAAAAAACCACCTGGGAATCACTTGGCCTCGCCAGTCAGAGCCCTCGGGCCACTCTAGCCCTGGCTCTCTTCACCATCAATTTTTTACAGCTGGATGAGCAAGGCCTTAGTGCTGCAGATCGTCATTCCCTTAACACGGCGCAAGAGCAATCTTGGGTCAAGTGGAAGGATGTTCTGGAGTCCAAATGGAAGGGCCCAGACCCAGTTATTAGGCAGGCTCGAGGAGCCATTTGTGTGTTTCCACAGGACGCCCCAGTTCCGGTTTGGGTTCCAGCTCGATTGACTCGTTCCTGTCCATCACCGCCTTCTGACGTTTCTGCAACCGCTGGAGCGCTTGCACGAGGATCTGACTTGGGGAAGATTCATGCAACCCCGCAATCAGAAACTCCTCCTACAATCCCACAGGACAATGGTGCCCCGCCCAGTGCAAACACAGCTGATGGTGCAACTAATGGTCTGTATGGCGCTTGTGAGGACCGTGATTGCTGAGCCACGATGAGGAGTTTTGAGTGTTTTTCCACGACCCTTACCGGTCGCCCACTCAGCCCGAGTGTTTCCTTGATTTTTTCTTCTTTGGATTTGCCTTTTCTCCCTTATGATGATATTAAGGAGAATGTGAGTAATTTTTTATTCCCCCTACAGGACACGCTTTGTTTTCAAGCATTTCCTGAGAATTTTAGTGTCAAGGTTTATGTGTTATTCCTTTTCAAAATGTTTCAACGGCTGCTAATCTTTCTTGCCAGCTTTCTTCTTATCTTTTAGGAAATTGGACGAGAGAATTTGATATTTTACAGTCGGAGTTGAGAATTGCCATTGTCCAGATTAATTCTACATGGGTGGATCCTGTTGTTGCTGAAACCCTGGCCACTTGGATTTGGAACATCACTTCCCATATTAAGGAATGGGTGGGAGTGGTTGTGCTGATTCTGCTCTTGTGTGCAGGCTGTGCCTTATGCCTTTTTTGCCTGTGTCATCTGAGACACCGCGCTCAGCGAGATCGTGTGGTAATACATCAAGCCCTACTAGCCATGCAGTATGGTGACTCCCCCATGGTATGGTTGAGCATGCTTCAACGGGTTTAGTTAAGAGCATGGACATCATGGCTCCTGCACCTCAGGCCATTATGGCATTGCACTGAGTTCGAGCATGATGCACACCTGACTAGCCCTTGCACCTCGCAGGACTTATCCATTGCACGCGAGAGGGTAGTCACTCTTATAACTGCCTTGTCGAGACATTGCTCTTTACAACCACCGCGGTTGTAGCCCATGACGGGTAAGATAGACCCAGACAATTATCGGTCTAAGACAGGGACTACGTCAAGCTACGCAGCCTCCCTATGACGGATCGTGCGCCTTGAGTCTACAACCTAAGACAGGCCCATACCAGCTTATTTTTTCTATTGTGTAAGAAGGGGAGAGATGTTGCAAGCCGCATCTGTATGCACTGGCCACATGCTGTGCCTAAAATGGCGCCGGCCGGAGAAGCCACACCTTCGTGCGTGTCACGTAGCCTAGCGCATGCGCAGTGAGCTGCGGCGTGGCCGGCACGTGAACACTGGGGACTGACGAATCCAGTCGCCCAGGACCCTGCGTGATCATGACGCCGACCTATCATCGGCGGAGGCGGGGCCAGTCAGCACATAAGAGCAGAAAGACTGCCGGGGTCCGCCCCTTTCCTCTTCCTCATCTTTGTGCGCGCAATAAACTTTACCGCAGAAGGCTTCACTCGCGTCTGCCTCTTACTGCTGGGCGGTAAGACACGTGGGCGCGACACCTTTCAAAGTAAATATTTTTTAAGACAGAATGAACGTGAATAGAGGGGGAAGGACCTGATCTCGAGCTGCTGCCTGGAGCACTGAATGAGGTGACTTAGCAGTGACAGGGACCCTGCATCAGGGACAACTTGGGTCTTTGGGGATGCAGAGTACGTCCCAGGTCACCCAGACAGCACAAGGGTGGGGCTGGGAACCACATTTTCTCCCTTCTGTTTTTTTTTTTTTTTTAAGATTTATCTATTTTTATTGGAAAGTTAGATTTATAGGGAGAAGGAGATAGAGAGAAAAATTTTGCATCTGTTGGTTCACTCCCCAAGTGGCTGCAATGGCCAATGCTGAGCCGATCCAAAGTCAGGAGCCAGGAGCTTCTTCTGGGTCTCCCACGTGGGTACAGGATTCCAAGGTTTTGGGCCACCCTCTGCTGTTTTCCTAGGTCACAGGCAGGGAGCTGGAAGGGAAGTGGAGCAGCCAGAACACCAACCAGCATCCAGATGGGATCCTAGTGGATGCAAGGTGAGGATTTTAGCCACTAGGCTACCACCAGGCCCTTCCTTCTGGCCTTGTGTTCTTTCTGACCTTAGCACCAGAATGTACCACCAGTTTATGAAATGCATTATTTTCTTGGTTAAACACACCCCAATCTCACACTTGGGTGATGCTGTGGCTTCCAGCCTTCGGGAATCACGACCTCAGGCGTGGTCAGGATGTAGGGGTGGGCTGGCTGCCTCTTACCCACGTCCACTGTGGAGGTGGTGCTCCCTGTCTTGCTGCGGCACACGGAGGCAGTGGGAAAGCCTGCGGCCTTCAGGAACGTGATGATCTGAGTTTGCACCTCGATCAGGTCCGGGTTTTTGCTGGCCTCTGCGTTGCTGATCTTCAGGACGTACTGGGCAGGGCCATCGGATGTCTCCTCTGCCCCCGAAGCATCCACATAGAAGTTCTGGTCGTCGTAGCTGGGCAGAGGCCGGATCTTAGTCACTCTGAGCCCAAAGACGGATTCCAGCAAAGCAGATGCTTGTGCCTCAGTGAAAGCAGGCTTGGCCAGCGCCCAGGACCGTGACTGCTCTCCGCTGGACATCATGTCAGGGGACTGTCGGGGAGGGAAGAGAAAGGGATAGAAACCAGAAAGGGAAGGCAAACACTTCTATGCTTCATTATGTATTTTTATGTCTATGATTAAAAAAAAACCCATCAAATCCGTGAATGACAGGTGAATAAAAGTCCTTGTACCGTAAATGATTTTCAACATTCTTTGTCAAAATGAAGGCTGTACACCCAGTATGGTAGCCTAGCGGCTAGAGTCCTCGCCTTGCACATGCCCGGGATCCCATATGGGTGCTGGTTCTAATCCTAGTGGCCCCGCTTCCCATCCAGCTCCCTGCTTGTGGCCTGGGAAAACAGTCAAGGACGGCCCAAAGCCTGGGGACCCTGCACCATGTGGGAGACCTGAAAGAGGCTCCTAGCTCCTGGCTTTGGATCAGCTCAGCTCTAGCCGTTCTGGCCACTTGAGGAGTGAATCAACATTCAGAAGATATTATACTCTGTCGCTCCTTCTCTCTGTATATCTGACTTTCCATTAATAAATAAATACATACATAAATAATGAGGGTTACTCCCAGGGACAGAACACAGGCCAGGAGAGCGCTCCAGGGTCCCCTCATCCACAAGGGAAGTTTGTGTCCTCAAAGGTGATGTCATGTTTCAAGCGACACTAACAACCCAGCCGGGGCTGGTGCTGTGGCATAGCCTGTTACCTTTGCCTGTGGTGCCAGCAATACAAATGGGTGTTAGTCTAAGTTTCCACTGCTCAGCTTCTGACTTAGCTTCTGGAGGACGCAGAGAGTGGCCCAAGTACTTGGGCCTCTGCACCCATGTAGAGGACCCAGAAAAAGCTCCTGACTTTGGACCAGCCCAGCTCCAGCCACTGTGACCATGAAGAGAATGAACAGTGGATGGAACATCTCTCTCTCTTTGTCTCTCCCTCTCTCTCTCTCTGCAGCTCTGCTTTTCAAGTAACAACAAGTAAATCTTTAAAATACAGAAAAGTTGTGCCCTTTTGATTTCTTATTGTCAGGTTTGGATCAGAAGATAGATTCACATGGGGATCTTTTCTAGCCACAGTTCTGTTCAATTATCAGCATGTCGTCCAGCTTACCCCACACTTTTTTGTTGGGACCAGCACAATGGCTCAATTGGCTAATCCTCCACTTTCAAGCACTGGGATCCCATATTGGTGTTGGTTTGTGTCCCAGCTGCTCCACTTCCCATCCAGCTCACTGCTTGTGGCCTGGGAAAGTAGTTGAGGACAGCCCAAAACCTTGGGACCCTGCACCTGCATGGGAGACCCAGAAGAGGCTCCTGGCTTCAGATCAGGTCAGCTCTGGTCATTGCAACCACTTGGGGAGTGAACCAGTAGGTGGAAGATCTGTCTGTATCTTTCCTTCTCTCTGTGAATCTGATCTGCCTTTCCAATAAAAATAAATGCATCTTTATTTTAAAAAGTATGTATTTATCTGAAAGACACACAGAGAGAGACAGAGAGGCAGAGAGACAGACAGAGAAATCCTCCATTCTTTGGGTCAATGCCCAAATAGCTGCAACAGACAAATGTGGGATGTGGGCCAGGTCAGAGTCAGGAGTCTCATTGGGGTCTCTCACGTGGGCAGCAGGGGCTGAAGCACTTGAGCCATCCTCTGCTGCCTTGCCAGGCACATTAGCAGGGAGCAGGGCTAGAAGCTGGGCAGTGGGAGACTCAGGCGGGCACTGTGATATGGGGTGCCCGTATCACAGGTGGCAGAATCCCCTGTACTCTAACACTGCCTCCTCCTGACACAAGTCTCTGAAATATGACCCCAGGCAGGAAAACACAAGGACTTACAGAAAGCATCATGGGAACTGAGGTTGGAGCGCTCTGTAACATCTGGAAAGTTCTACCCAGGCCCACACCCCGAAATAACAAAACTTCATAAATAGTTCAAAACAACTTAGAGGACAGCAAAGCAGCAGACTAAAAAAATACCAGAGGAAATCCTGAATTTACTAAAGACGAACCTGCCATGGACTTTTTTCAGATTTATATGTTAGGTCTGACGTGATAACACAGTAGTTAAAGTTTTTGCCTTGATCGCACTGGGATCCTGTATGGGCGCCAGTTCTAATCCTGGCAGTTTCACTTCCCATCCAGCTCCCTGCTTGTGGCCTGGAAAAGCAGTCGAGGACGGCCCAAAGCCTTGGGATCTTGCACCTGTGTGGGAGACCTGGAGGAAGCTCCTGGCTCCTGGCTTCAGATTGGCTCAGCTCTAGTCATTGTGGTCACTTGGGGAGTGAACCATCAGACAGAAGATCTTCTTCTTTGTCTCTCCTCCTCTCTGTATATCTGCCTTTCCAATAATAAAATACAATCTTTTAAAATTTTTATGTATTTTTATTTGAAAGGCAGATTTACAGAGAGAGAAGGAGAGACAGAGAGAGATCTCCCATCCACTGGTTCACTCCCCAAATGCCCGCAATGGCTGGGGCTGAGCCAAGCTGAAGCCAGAAGCTTCTTTCAGGTCTCCCACATGGGTGGAGGGGCCCAAGAACTTGGGCTGCTTTCAGATACTTTCCCAGGCACATTAGCAGGGAGTTAGGTTGGAAATCGGGAAGCTTGAACTCTAACCAGCTCCCATATGGGATGCTGGCACCATGAGTAGAAGCTTAACCCGGTATAACATGGTGCTGGATGCTCAATTTACCTTAAAAAATATGAAAAGAATATGCTTTCTAATACTAAGAGGTATAGAGCCATGGAGTGAAAAATTTAAGTCAGCTACTGAAAGCAAAGTTACACCTGAGTGTGTAAGTTATGAAACTAACACCTGCCAAACTGAAATGGAGGAGGGTACCAGCACTATGTGTGTGTGTGTGTGTGGTGGGGGTAAGCCATCACTCGTGACAGCTGCATTCCATATTAGATTCATGCCACCACACTGGGCATGCTTTGGGCCTGGGAGCCCTCGGTGTCCCCATGGTTTTAACATGATGAGCTTGATCAGCTCTGAGTAGGACCCATCAGCCCCCACATTTGCTCCATAAGGATTGGAGGTTTTCCCAGAGGAAGATGTTATATAGGCCGGGGACAGTGGCAGCCCAGTTCTAGGAGTCAGATAGAAAGATGGCATTGGGGTAGACAAGTTAGCCCTTTCTAAGCTTGATAAAGAAGGGTCTAACACACAACTCTTTCAGGTTGATCTGCACACTGGCATAGCAGTAGCAGGTGTCTGTTCTTCAGTGGGCATTGCAAGAAAAGAAGCTTCTGATGTCAGATGTGACCCTGGCTATCAAGTTCTACTCCAGTGTCCTGCAGACCCACTGGCTCCAAAGTGCTGTCATACTTGGGCTGCAGTTCCCTGCTATGGGCTTACAGGGGATGTGATGGTGCAGAATCCTGTAGGACTGATTCACCAGGGGTTTCACATGGATACTGGGGCTCTGTCGGCTACAAAGCCAGGCAGGCTGCAAGGACAGAAGCATGAAGGTTTTATGAGACAGGGCTAAGATGCTGCCTTCAGCTCCACCCTCCATATGGGCACCAGTTCAAGCCCTGGCTGCTCCACTTCTCATCCAGCTCCCAGAGGATGGCCCAAGTGTTAGGGCTCCTGCACCCTTGTGGGAGACCTGGAAGAAGCACTTGACTCCTGGCTTCAGATAAGTCCAGCCCGGGTCATTGCAGCCATTTAGGGAAGCAGATAGAAGATCCTTCTGTCTTGCCTTATTTCTTTGTAACTCTGCCATTTCAAACAAATAAATCTTTTAAAAAGATTTATTTTTATTAGAAAGGCAGAATTACAGATAGAAACAGAGATAGAAAGAATATCTTCTGTCTGCTGGTTCACTCCCTTAGTGACCACAACAACCAGAGCTGTGCCAATCTGAAGCCAGGAGCCAGGATCTTCCTCCACGTCTCCCATGTGGGTGCACGGTCCCAAGGCTTTGGTCTGTGCTCGACTGCTTTTCCAGGCCACAGGCAGGGAGCTGGATGGGAAGTGGAGAAACCAGGATATGAAATGGCGCCCATAGGTGATTCTGGCATATGTAAGGTGAGGATTTAGTCACTAAGCTATCGCGCCAGGCCTGGATAAACCTTTTTGAGCCAGGGCTTGACTGAGCTGGTGAAATAATTAAAGGAAGCCATGAAATTGTCCCAGGAGATATAAGAGAAGCAAAGAAAAAAATATAAAAATAAAAACTAGAAGATGAAACATTTATTTTGGTTTATTTCGGGATCTACTTTGTTTTATATTTCTACCACGGTCCATTGTGGCCTTTAGCCTTTGGATTAGACACAACGGACTGAGCAATGTCCATCACAGTTTTGTCTTGCACCTGAACAAGGAATCAGAGCAGCTGTGCCTTCTGGTAGGAAGGAGCAGGAGGGAATAAGAGGAAATGTTCTGCATCCTGATTGGGCTCAGGTTACACAGCTGTGCACACTGAGCTTAAAGGCTGGCGGTATGATACAGGGATTAAGTCACAGCTTGAGATGCTGTCATCCACAAGGGAGTGCCACACTGGGACTGAAGCAGTGGGTGGAAGATTTCTGCCTGTCTTTCCCTCTTTGTCACACTCTCAAATGAATAAATCATTTTTTAAGTTGTCGTATGGGGGACCTGGCACAATAGCTGAGTGGCCATATTCCCGCCTTGCACACACCAGGGTCCCAAATGGGTGCCAGTTAGTGTCCCAGTTGTTTCACTCCCCATCCAGCTCCCTGCTTGTGGCCTGGGAAAACAGTAAAGGATGGACCAAAACCTTGGGACGCTGCACCTGTGTGGGAGACTGGAAGAAGCTCCTGGCTCCTGGCTTCGGGTCAGCTCAGTTCTCACCATTGCGGCCACTTGCGGAGTGAATGAGTGGATGCAAAATCTTTCTTTCTGTAAATCTGCATTTCCAATTAAAAAGATAAATAAATCTTAAAAACAATATGGACCAGAACCGTAGCACAGCAGGTTCAGTGTTAGCACTAATGTGGGTGCTACTTTGGATCTTGGCTATTCTACTTCTGATCCAGCTACCTGGGAAAGCAGCAGAGGCCGGCCT